AAACAATGGCCAATAAACATAATAGGGAACGAAATTGAAGTGAATCACATTGTTATTACTAATCAAATACAACGCTTTTAAAGTAAAATTATTATCCACATAAATTAAGTACAATAGTTTGTATATTGAACTATGGTTAATAATCACAATAAAAAATGGGTAGTCAGTGAATTTTTTTTTTATAATTAATCGTGGTTGATAATCAGAATAGAAAATGCGTAATTGATGAAATATTGACATTACATATCAAACACCATGGTTTTTAAATTTAAAACATGGTATATGTACCTATATTGCAAGGATGGACTATATAACTATCGTAATGCATAGCATATCATTACAATTTTTCATGAGAAATCGTTGACAAATGACCATAAACAAGTTATTTCAAAAATAGTAGTCGTATAATGTTAGAATGGCTAAAATGTATAAAATCATTGTCTATAATAATGTTAAGAACAATGATTTTGGGTTTCAATTCTTTTAAATTAATATTACGACATTGGTATTCAATTGCAAAATAATCGTTGCCACCTGGGGTCTTTTAGAATGTCCGACCAGACAACGGAATCTTACCCTCTTTAGTTAATAACGGGGTATTGCCCATTGTCGTTGTATACTTTTTATACAATGTTGTGACTGGATACAATAATAAGACGGTATTGTAAATGACAATAAAATATGGATGAGAAAGGTGTATATGTCATTTATTTTTGAATTGGATTATGAATATAGGTAGTTTTTTGTAATAAGCACGATGTCATAGCATTTTGCCATACTAAACATAAAAACACAAGAAAACTACTTGACGAGAAAATAGCATTTTTAATAAGGTTAAATGATCGAATCCATACACTGTCAACTTTCATATGTTATTATTTAATAACATCTGTTACAATTAAGCATCTTTCAAAACAAACGAATCTCCATGAAGCATTGTTCATGCTTTGTCTATTGTGGCATTGTGATAATCAACGTTATGAAGTTGGAATCACCAACTCATGCTTACTTTTAATTGGGACTTACATACATGATCTATAATTCTTGCAATTCGAAAGGTGATTACTTATGTATGTGTAATTTAGTCAAAAATAGAGAGAAATAGAAAAAAAAAATGTTCAATACATGGAGGAGGATTGACGAAGCAACTTATAACGTTAATCCAGTTAAATCAATAAAATCAAAATCATCATCTCAAAATATCAAAAATTGATCGTGAACAAGAAGATATTGGTAATCAAGAAATTGGATATCAACTAATCCAGGTAACACCATGGAGACATGAGAATCCAATTGTTATTAATTTGACTTTTGAAGATGACGATATATCAAATATTGAAAATGTGTAATGAGGAACATGTTTGAGAAGTTTTGACCAAAATTTACCATCAATATTATGTAACGAAATGTCAATTGAGTAGGTGTTGCAATAATTATTTCATCTAAAAAATGTGTAATGAGAAACACGTTCGAGAAGTTTTGACCAAAATATATCATCAATGTAATGTAACGGAATTTCAATTAAATATATGTTGTAATAAATAAACATGAGAACAATCATACTTTTTGTTAGTTTACAATCACTAAACACGAAACTAGAAATCACGCATTCCATTATACGAAATATAACATGGAAATTGTGTGTGCTCAATTGCCACAAAAACCACTATTGATCTAAACGTAATGAACATTATGTTATGACAGTTTTATTAAGTAGGTGATAGAGCTAAATTACTGAATTTGAGAATAATCTTATTTTTGTTACATATAACCACTATTTGATACTCATTTGGATTTGACAAATGGTTTTTTCTCTATAAATTGTCTTAAACTTCATTATGCATTGCACCGCATCTCTAGTTCTTTGTAATTGTGAATATTCTATTATTGTGAGGGACAATGATAATGAATAACTTTCCTCACGAGCATTGAATTGCTCCAATGTCGTTCCTAAAATGGAGTCACTACCTCCTTGGTACTCCAACTGTAGCGATCGTCCCTTCCAACAATGAACAAAATAAAAATAGTCTACAGTAGGTTGATGTCATCGACCTAATATTTAAGGATGAAGGCAAGAGCAACAAAGAAGTTGTGCATGTTTTGAAGGAGTCTGGTGTCTAAGATGATTAAGGAGGAGTGATGTTCCAAGGGACAAGAAGGAGTTTTGGTCTAATCTTACATTATCCTTATTGTTATGTTTGTTATTTGTTCATGTTTTGTTTTATGTTTATATTTCTAATTATTATGATTATGTTTGTTTCTACATTGGTCGTGGTCTTGCAATACCTAAAGTACTTTATTTTGTTTTTTGTTATGTATGTCAGGGAAAATAGAGTCAAGTTGACCATAATATTTTTTGACTTTGTAATCTTAGACTTGCTAATAAAATAAAATATTTATATTTCATTATAACAAAAATACAATGAATACCTAGGAGGACCAAGAAAAGTTATAACATACCTAGGAGGACCGCGATCGAGTGGGTTGATCCCACTCAGACAACGAAGAAAGAAGTAGGTTGACAGAAAGAGGTAAATACATTGATCTCGTTCCACTATGAATACAACTATAATGATATATATGTTGCTACAGAAAAAGAGAACGATATAAAAATCATTTGTTTGCAGAAAAAGAAAATGATATCTATATGTTAAAAAACAACATTAAAGTTTTTCCCGTACATGCATAACGATTCTACTACTAGCATAAGTCATTATGCGTTATACGGGCACATCCACGCTTCTAAATGCAATAAGATAATTGAAGTAATAATAATAACATAAAATGACCTTAATGTCGTTCAAATAGAACGAAAACAATAATATTGGAAAAAATAGTGTTCTAAAAGGCGTAAAATGTGGCTAGACGTGGAGGTGAAATTTCAAGTTTTTCGAGCTTAAGCGAGCCTAGATGAGGCTTAGGCGTAAAAAAGTGTTTTCTTTATTTTTAATATTATTTTTAACTTTGAATCATTTACTAATTAAAATAATACATATCAAATATCCAAAATTATAAAATACTATAAATAATTCCTACCATTAGTCAATTATACAATTTTCAAGTTTTCGAAATACAAAAATTAGAATATTTTTTACAGTTTCAATTTTTAACTAAATAAGTCACGCTTCATAGATTTATAGAAACTCCATACATGTTTTTGGAATTTACAACAAAATAATGAGTCTCAGAATCATAATTACATAATATAGTTATCACAATAACTTAAATCTTATTTAACTATTTAAATAAAGTAATTTTTAACTTTTGTAAATATGAAACTTTTTAAAAACTTGAAATTAAAGTCAAATGAAAAGTTCTTTTAAAAATAAACAAACTAATAAGCTAAAATCAAATAAAATATTTTAAAAAAAGGAAAAAAAATAAAAATACTAATAAAGCGCACATAGGGAAGATGAAAAAGAGGAAGGAAAAAATTTACTCGTTTAAGAGTTGGGAAAAAAGCGTCTAGGCACGAAGAGAGGCGTTTTGCTTGAACTTCGAATCTAAGCGCCGCCTAGGCGAGCTTTTTACTGCATTGGAAAAATGTGACATAATGAAATTCCGCACATTATATATCATTCAACACCTCTTTAACTTTATCATATAAGTTCGCATAAAAAATTATTTTTGAAACAAGAATAGACATTTTCCCTTTGTCATTTCTTACATATTCTCATTTTCATACACCTTAAACTATCTACATATATTCAACTGAATAACAAACTGATATCTATACTATATCTACGATGTCTATAACTCTAATTCAACATAAAAATTTTAAAAATTCATCAAATCTCAAACTTTTTATAATTCTTGATAACAAGATGTATGTCGTTATGAATCACAAAAAAAGAGATGTATTTATAGATCACAAAAAAGAGATGAAATAACTATATGTGTCGTTATGGATCACAAAAAGAGAGATGTATGTTTCATAGTAGAAAAAAGAAATATAATAACAAAACATGTGTTTACTAACTTACATTTCACTTCAACTAATAGAAATATAGGTAACAAGAACACATTGGGAATAATGATATCAAAACTCTAATATAACGGAAAAACAATTTTAAAGTTGTTATTGACAAATGAATACCATAAACACAAATCACAACATGAAAAAATGATTCAGAAAATAGGGAAAGAAATAGTCAAATATTGAAATTTAACAATACCTTCTCTTTTTCTCCAAATGCCCAACAACAATATTGTAAACTTTGGTTACTCACTTCAATGAAATGAGTACTAAGGGGAATGACAATATAGATTTAACAATACCTTCTCTTTTTCTCCAAATGCCCAAACAACAATATTGTAAACTTTGGTTACTCACTTCAATGAAATGAGTACTAGGGGGAATGACAATATAGATTTTAGGGTTTCTTCATGAAAAAGATAACATCTTATATGAAGGAGAGAAGGTAATGATAAGTCTAGGAATTAAGCCATTGATTTCTCCAACCAAAGAAAAAATTGGTTTGGAGCTAAACATGTTAAAAATAAGAAATGATATTGAGGGCAATAATGTCTTTCTATTTAAAAGAACATTTTAGTTATTTATAATTTTCTATTTTTCTTTGTATCTTTAGATCTTTTAACTCATATATATATATATATATATACAGAAATGATCTAATGAGCACCGGTGCTCATTTTATTCTAAGCACCAATGAGTTGACACATTAATTTATTGGTGGATTGGAACTCACAAAATCTTTATCCACCCATAAATTAATGTGTCAACTCATTGGTGTTTAGGATAAGATGAGCACCGGTGCTCATTAGATCATTTCTGTATAAATATATATATATATGGAAACGAGACATTTTAAATGAATCCCCCAATTTTTAAGTAGGGCTTTTTTGGGCTTTCACAAGTGGGAAAAACCCCTCTGCAATAAATTCGTCCGGTGGCCTATAAACCTTCAAAAACGCCAACTGAATTCCCGTTGCATGATTTACACAGGCTAAACAACGGAGGAGCAGAAAAACCCACAATTATGTACGGGGGAGGTCAGTATATCTTGCAGAATCTCCTATACATACTATATATACATGTCATATTTGGGTATAATTTCGCCGTCTTTTTATTTTACTACAGACGAAGTTTCGGCTGTAGTGGTAGACTTGGGTTCGAATACTTGCAAAGCTGGTTATGCCGGTGAAGATGCGCCAAAAGCTGTTTTTCCATCTGTGAGCCTACTAATTATTTTAGCAACTTTCTCTATTTTTGTAATTTTCACTTTTTATTTTGGTTGTATTAGTGCATTGTGGTTTTCTGGAGTGATCCTGGAGTTTTTTCATCTGTTTTGTGTTTGAGTGCTCGATGATTAAGAAACAGAACATTAATCTTAAAAAAGGAAACGGGCCATTGCCCAAATTAGATTAGTTGAAGTAGGTGGAGAATTTACACTTTGAATGTAGTTGAAAATTTTGAACTTGAAGCAATATAAGAGTGAGCATGGAGCTACAGTAACACGGATGTTTTCCATATCTAAGTTTAGGATGCCAGGTAAATTTATAGCTATTTTTCAGAAACTTAAGAGAGACTTTCTGCAGGGCAAGGATGCTCAAATGGTTAATTGTAGCTAGGGATTTCTTGCAAGAAGTAAAAGTACAGGTGGTTTAGGAATTGGAAATCTTAGAAAATAGCTTGGCTCTGCAAGTAAATAGCTTCAAAGTCTTCCATCCAGGGTAGAGCGGTAATAAGAAAGTACAATTTGAACCGAAGAGACTGGGATTCCAAAAGATTTGTGAGAGGTTCCCTTAAGGTCTGCTTAGGAGTTTTTTTGACCGATTTTGGGTGACACCGTTTATAACGGGAAAATTGGTGCTTGCTAGTTTTTTGGGCATTGGTTTTGGATGGTTTAAAACCACTTAAAATCAATATAGTATGATTTTGACTGTTTCGTTCAACCCACCAAATCGGTAGGTTTTGGCTGTTTCTTATATTCTTTTTTAATTTTATTTTCTATAAATAATTATCTCAAACCAGCATATTTTGTTCAAAACTAACTTGTAATTTAAAATACATTAATTAAAAAAATTATTTATAAGCTAAAACAATATTTTATAACTTATAAGTTATAAAATCACTTTTGTGTAAAAAATTGTTTATAAAGTAAAAATACTACTAATAAGATAAAAATTTACTTATAAAATATAAAAAGTTATTTATAAGTTGTTGAAGATATGGAAAGAATAATCTCTATGATCTTTTTCCAGTAGTGTAGGATTATTTTCCTTAATAATTGATTGTATAATTACTATGCAATCTTTCCTTTTAGAGTTATTTATACCTCTATAAATAGAGTCTTTTACTTTGTAATAGAAACAAGTTTATTATATTCAATTTATAATATTCTTCACATGATATTAGAGCAGTTTCGATCCCAAACAAATTAACATTTGAATTTCGTTTCCGGCGAGCAGCCTTGAGCCGCTCGTTCGGCTACCAATGTTTTTTTCCTTTTTTTT